AGACAAACGAGAAATATATCAAGAGGTGCAAACATCAACGTGGTTCGATCAATCAACATACGTCCACAAGAGAAGATGAACAATTCACTATATTAAAGCGAGTACAAAATATAAAGAGGAATAACCTCACACAATTCACACGGAAGACAAAGAGGTTCACACAAGTGTTAACGTAACACTTGTGTCTCACACATTCTTCCCCTACACAAAACTCTTAAATCCACTAGGACTATATTGTGAAAGCTACTAAGTTAGAAGGAACGAGTCTCTATTTATAGAGTCCTAAACTTTTTCCTACAAGAAAAGAACTAGACAAATATGGAGACTTTATGTTTTTCTTTTAGGAAAAAGAAAACATATTTATGGTAAGAAACTCAAGGCAACTACCCAACAAATTTTCCTTTTGGCCTGAATTTCTGACAAAATAAATTTGCTTCATTTTTTTCACATAATCTTCAATAGCTATATCCCCTCTTCAAAATCTTCTCCATCAAATATATGTCACGACACAGAGAACCTCTTTGAAAATATTTCTCCACAAAAAATCTTCATTATCGTCAAATAGGTTGTGGCTAGAACTGAACCCGCTAAGATGAACACCCATTTTTAGCCCGACTCCAACTTGAATCTAGCTTTGATACCACCTATTAGGACTGAAATACCCTGCCTATTGTTATTTCTATATGTTGGGTGAGACGTAATTTTAATACAAATTATTCTCAATTCTCTCGGATGAGTAGAACTTGTACTCGTTTAAGTATTCACAAGTTTTTTGTTCTATCAATTGACAAAACTTGTTTGTATTGTTTAATTATTCACAAGTTTTGTCGGACAAGTAAAACAAGATATTATACACCTTCATTCTTTCTATCTTGTTAATTATTTGCTCACAATATCTATCAAATTAACAAAACTTGCATATTATTCAATCGTTCATAAGTTTTACCAAACATACCAAATTTAATACTATTTCCATTTTATCTATCTTGTTAGATTATTCAAGGGTTCGACCGGATTGGCTACACTTGCATGTGAATACATTAGGATTGCTAAATGCAAACCAAAGAATGGTGTATCACACTTTCTTTCTTGCTATTTGTAAAAAGTAGGTCATTTGTTACTAGTAATAGTGTGTGTAAGTCATAATTAGATTTTTTTTTAAAATACATTTTCGGTGAAATCAGTTTTTTCACCAAAAAAATCAAAATATAAAGAAATAATTTAACATCAAAAGTAGTCTAGAGAATTCAACATCTATTATATATCGTAATTCAAAAAAAAAACACTATGAAAAAGGATATGGGACAATCTGAACTGGGCTTGATTATAGTCTATTAGCCCATTTCAAAGTCCATGAGAAGATAGAGCTTATGATTGGGCCTATATTGGGCTTTTGAAGAGAATTCACCGTTTTCACTAAAAATCCATATAAGTTGAACATGGGATGACGATGGGCCTCACGCTTGGATCCACGGCCTAGTTTTCGGGATATTGACACTTATATACAACATCCGATAAATATATATAGTTTCTAGCGTGGAGGTTATTTTCTCAATATTTTTTTAATGGGATTAAAATTTAACGATAGCATCGAAAGATCCTATTTGTACAAATCATCCTTTCACGACCAATGTTTATTTTATTCATAAACCAATTTCCATCATTTTCTCACTTTTTTTAAGGTAATAGCAAACCGGGAAAGTGTTTTTTCCTAGTGTTTGAACTCTACACCTAAATGATATTTTCAATGTCTCAATTTATGTGATACACTCTATTTTAGTTTATCAGGATGACACATTTCTATAATTAAAAATAATTTAAATTGAGACGGAGTGAGTATATGAAGAGTATACATACATACATGCATCGATTAGTCTATAAATTTATTCTATGTTCTATTAAATTTGATTTTTATATGGACAACTCAACAACTTTGATATTATATAAACTAATTTTCAATTTCCCTCCCCATCCTACCAAATTGGAGAATCTAATACCAAAGAAAAGATCTATCAATAACTTCTTGAAAGGCATATACCACATAGATGTAGAAAAATATTCCATATGTTTATACATAAACAATTAACCTAAAGGACAATTAATAAAAAGCAAAGCATGTGAATTTACAAAAGCAAGTGCACTACCTTAACTTGGTGGAATTAAGAATGTATACTCCAATTAATTAATATTATCAATGGCCTCTAATTATAGTACCTTGTCTTAATTGTTAACCTAGTATTATAAATTTTGGATCATTACAATTTTTTTAATCTTAAAAAAATGAAAATAAAGCTAATTAGTGGGTGCTTTATTAGGTTGGTGGAGAACCAATGAGTGTGTACTATAATAAAATTAATACTAGTTGACAAAAGCTTCAATAAGATTAATTAATCCTTAATGGGTACTTAATTGAAGATTAGTTTAGGGTTAAAGGGTTCTTGAGCCGCGTTTTAAGCGGCGCTAACGTGCATTTGTCGGTTAATTTTGGGATTAAGCCAAAACTTAATTTTAATCTATGGTTTATGTTGGATCTAAGGGAGTCACGTGCAAAATGTGTGATGGACTTGGGGGACAAATTATTAAATTTCTTTTGGAATAAAGTGAAAATAAATATAGAAAATTTCATAAATAGCTATAGTTTATTAGAACATAGTTATAGTTGTAGCTACGTTTTTACGAAGTATAGCTATCATTGTTGTATCGAATGTGTATCAACAAAAGAGTTGTATCATACAGCAAGTGTAAGCTATATCAGAGGAATATCAATTATATCAATGCATATTGTATCAATTGAAAACCGCATGCAAAAGAATTATATCAATGTATATTGTATAAAAGCATGTGTGTGTTGTGTATTTGCTACAAAACCTGAAATGTAGCTACATGTCATAAACATTTTGAAACTGTAGCTATGTTTCGTAAATACAATCTAAATGGTTTAACATATATATATAATTAAGTTTAACACTAACCTAGGATAATGGTGTTAATTAAGAGAAGTCCACTTACTAAAGAGTACCAAGTGTTGGTTGGGCTAAGTCCTAGAGATTGGTGAAAATGAAATAATATTATGGGCTTCCTCAAAGATTATGATAATTAATTGAAGAAAAGATAATTAATTATGGATTACGATAAAGGAAATGATATGATCATGGGAAAACGAATATAGAAAGGGCATTGCAGTTAAATTTGGTTAATTAAAAAGAAGGCTTAATATATGATTTTTTTAAAAAAATATACTTGTCAGTAAATTTTATTTAAATACTTGAATTACCTCAGCTTGTTCCATTTGAGCTCTAATAACATGATCTTATTAGTCATTCACTTAAAATATGTCATGACCTTTCGCTATACGGATTAATTTTAATAAGCAATAAAACCTCATACGACTCTAATTTATGAAAATAATGCATATAACTAAAAAAACATGACATATTTTACTAAGAAGACTAAATTTAAATCTCTTAAAGATGACTCTGTGTATAAATATATTTATTTTAATATAAGTGAACACACTGCACCAGGCATGTGGCCTGTGTGTTTTGGTAATAATTAAGGAAGCAGCCTGTATAATTATAAGGAAACAAAAACAAAAACAAAAACAAACTTATTATTCAATATATTCAGTCTGCAATACTACATGGTGAATTAATGAAACAAATAAAATTGAATGAGAATAATATATTGTATTATGAAAGACATGGTGGACATGCCACCCCTAAAAAAAAGTTGGTAAAGTGACTTTATATGGATTCATCACAATGAAAGGCCATCTTTCCCTTTTATTATGGTCGATCTCGGACACAGATTTATGATTTAAATTTGATATAATTTTATTTCCTTTTCTCGTTATTGAATTTTTTATTTTTAAAAAAGAAAAAATAATAGATTATCTCTTCTTTTAGAAAGATATTTTAATTAATTTTTATTTATAAAAATAAGTGATTTTCTTATTTACTTTCTGGCATTCGATAAGTAAGTAAAAAATATATCAGGTCTAATATTTGACATCAATTGACATGACCTTTAATTTTGAATGTGTACAAATAGACACTTAAATTTATATATAATTAAATAAGTAAACACACATTATCCACTCAAATTGATTTATATATATCATCTCGAATATATATATATATATATATATATATATATATATATATATATATATATATATATATATATATATATATATATATATATATATATATATATATATATATATATATATATATATATATATATATATATATATATATATATATATATATATGATTTAAATATCCGATACAATATGTTTTTTTATTGAAAAATTATAAGAGGAACAATTGTGGGATGTCATAGAAAAGATATTTGGAGTTTCAAGAAAATCCAGAATAGATCATAGAAAACAGTTAAACTATATAGTCATTCATGTCGTTAGTTCCACCAAAGATTCTCTGTCGTCTTCTACTTTATACTATAACCAAAAAGAGATGGTACAATTAAAGTGTTCGTTCAGAATTTTCATTAACAAAGTTTAAAATATAATGATGAAATGTAGGAATAAGTTAATGAAATCCAATATCTACTATACATGCGATATAATTTTTCGCTGAAGAAAATTTGAATGAACTCTTTATGATTGTAGAGTTGTGTGAGCTTCATAACTAAAGTTTTGAAGTGAACATTGGAGCAACAGTAAAACTAATTTTGCGTGACATTATAGGTCGTAGATCCAAATTGTAGAATTTATCTTTGATACTTACGCCCGAGTAAATTGCGTAGGTTACACTCTTTAGGTGACGCGTGTATACCTTAGGCCAAGCGATGTCAAGAGACACCATTTTGTAAAATTTTATAATAAAAGAGTTATGAGTACACCAATATATCTTCACTTTATTTGATTTGGTGAAAACACGCGATGACTAATTGATAAATAAATATGTACCATTATTTCCCCCACCCACCCCACAAATTGACCTTGGGTTTCTCATAATTAAACATGAAAGAACACCTTCATATATCCCCACTCCTAAAGTTCCTTTTTCTTGTAACACTTTGATCAAAGTTGTGGGCCTATTTTATACAGCACCATATTTTGTCCTTTGATGAAAAGTACTGTTTGGTACCACAATTAACAACTTCCCCTCTTCCTCTTCAACAAAAATATGTATCCTACCACAGGTATTTTATTTTCTTCATGTTTTTTGATTAGTTCTTTTAAATTCTTCAATTGATTCTTTTTGTATTTGTTGCTTCTTTTTTCTTTTCTTTTTTTGGCTTGGATTATGGTTGAAATTAAACAAGGACAATTACTTTTTTCCATCAATCTTGAACTTTGATCATAGAGAGGGAGGAGGGGGGGGGGGGGGGGGGGT